CCTTTTAATGAAGATGGGAACATTGACAGGGAACTAGATTTGAACGAAGAAGTTTCGTAAAGAGCGCGTACGGTAGTGCGATGTAAAATTACTCATGCCAGAAATTTTCATAAAAGTGACCCGAAAAACAGCTCTAACTCGGTAACCCGTGGCCCGATTTTAACGAAACTTGTGTTATTCTGTTTCTATTATTATTTCATTACAAAAATGGCAATATTGTGCGCCGTTTTTGCTGTATTTAATTACAGACAAGCAAATAAACAATCTCAAGAGTTTTAGTAGTATATAGATTAATGTACGAGACCTTGGGCATGATCAAGTACATCAATCGAAAAGGTTTGACCTCCCGAATCCAAAACTGTAATTAGATCTCAAATCCGTCAAGAGATACTAAAAGTTTGTACTTGAAAAAAAACTGAGCCGCTCACAGTTCAATTACGTTTTAAAACATATTTAGATATCATTATGAACGTAATCAATCTTCCAGACTGGGCCTGGCATGGCCAGATGGCTAGGGCGCTCGACTCGCAATCTGTGAGTCGCGGATTCGAATCACTATCCCACTAAAAATGCTCGGCCTTTCAGTCATGGGGGCGTTATAATGTGACACAATCCCACTGTTTGTTGGTAAAAAGAGTTGGTGGTAAGTGGTGACGACTAGCTGCCTTCCCTCTAGTATTACACTGCTAAATTAGGGACGGCTAGCGCGGATAGCCCTCGTGTAGCTTTGCGCAAACTTCAAAATAAACAAATCTTTGAGAATACACATTTCCTAATTTTTCTGGAGGGGGTGGGGTGGGAGATCCTCTAATTTCCCTAGGCCCATCTTACCGAACTGAGGTTGCATGGTTCGCGTTCCGTAACTATGCACTTTGAGGTCGTGGGTGCGTTATAAGAGTGACGGTTAAATCCCACTATTCGGTCTGAGAAGAGTTAGGGACGTCTAACGCAAATAGTACTCGTGAAAATTTGCACAAAATTCGGCGAAATATAAAGGGAAAAGTATGTAAAGTTAACACGTCAATGGATTTTTTACTCTTTTATTATTCTTATGTAACGGTTACGTTGTTCATCGCCGGTACTTGAAGTCCATAGACAATGTTGTTCCGGAAGTAATGTACACTCCATTTCTTATTCATTGTTGTTTTCATTAAAAGTTCTGATCAGAATCATTAATATATCAATTTTTTGTCTACTTTCAATTTTAATTCTTATTCATTTTTTTTTTATCACTGACACATCATTAGGTCCTCTGGTGGGCCAGCGGTAAATTTATGGACTTAAAAGTGCGGGGTTCGATTCCCCGTGGTGAACTCAACGTAGCTTGGCGTTAAAACAAACAATCGCAAGAATGAAGAATACATGTTATTAGTGTAGCTAGTCAAATTTATTTGGCACTTAATTAAAAAAAAAACGCTTAGTTAAAAAATAAAAGTCGACGGCAATTGATTTTGTACGTGTATACTTTAGGCTTATTCAACATTCTTAAAGTTTTAAATGACTTTCTATTCTCCTGTAACAACTCTGCAGCTTTTTGATTTTGGACAAGGAAATAATAAGATCATTTTAAATCAATTTGTCTTGATAGTGACAATTTTTAATAATAGTAAACGTTTATCAAGGATCTCAATAGAGGGCGCAAGACGTTGGTTCAGCTCCCAAGATATGCTAGGTTAAGCGAAATTGTAATGGTAACGTTAGGTAGTTTCGTACGTATGTAAATAGTAGAAATACAGGTTAGTAATAGAATGGGGCCAGATCCCCCTGAAAATGTTGCCCCCCCCCCAAGATAATGTCGTCCAGCAAGTTTACTTTTGATTTGACCCCATTCTGTCTCAGTGCCCCTTACCCCGGTTAAGAATAGCTGTAGCCGGAAATGGACAAATATAAAACTAACACAAAAAAGTAGTGCTCTGTACAAAATAGTTCCTGAAGAAGGGACAGTCTACCTTCCATTACGGAAATCGAATTCTCGGGTTTCTTGTTTTGATTTATTTTGTTTAATTGTAGTACTTCTCAACTATACTTAAGTTATAAGTTGATTTATAGATAGTATATTGGTAAGCCAGGAGTTTATTTTCTGAGAACAACTGTTGGAAAGGTCCAAGGTTCGCACCGTGATGTTGCTGAACATGCTTCGCACTTTCAGCTGTACAGGAGTGACGGGCGATCTCTTTATTTTAGTAGCGACGGTACTTCTGTCTGTCTGTCTTCCTTCTGGTCCATAACTCAAAATGTGGAGCGCTTATAACTAAATCTTAGGAGTTTCTGTTTCTTAGAGCAAATCCACATTGGGCTCTCTGCTGTGTTTACCGCGGGAAATAGAACCCTGAATGTTAGCGTTGTCTGTTAACTTACCGCGAACACACCGAGGATTTCTGACTTGCTACGTGCGGATGTGGTGTTTTTTAGGTTAAATAATACCAATACAAATATTTTCCTCCATTAAAAATATTTGAGGTTATCTAAAAGTACTTCGCATGCTTTGTTTTTGTTTGTTTGAACTTATTTATTTTTATCTACTAGGCCGAGTTAAATATGCAAATTTATCAGACAGAACTTTAAATGCTGGTGTTTTTGGAGTCGTTACAATACACAAAATAATTTGATTGATTCGCGTGTTTACAGTGAAGTTTTATTGTGACACGATGTTTGTTTTTGGTTATTTTGAGAATGTTTATTTCGTTTCTAGTTGTTCTGCTTCATGAATTTAAAACAAATAATTTTTGTTGTTCAAGATTTTAAACAAAACATGACTATTTACTAGCATTGGATAAATAATGATAATATTTTAAATTGTTATTATGAATTTACTTAAATTATTAGCGCTCCTTAAGAAGGTTTTCGTAAATGGCTGTCGTCTACTGAAACTCAATATGAATAGGCTTAGATCTCAGTGAAGGTAGGCCTATATGTAAGACATTTTCTATAATCTACCATTTATCAAAAAAATTCAAGTAATATTTTGTAAATTAAACAACGATTAATTCGAAAACCAACTTATGGTCATGCTTAAAAAGTTTCAGTTTTATTTTTGTAAAATACCAGCCGTAAATTTTGGTAATGAATGAACAAAAAATGAATTGACATCCAGACTCAAAGTTTCAAACTAAAAAAAAGTATCATAGTTTGTAAATCACTAAAAATTAAAACTAATAATATAAGTGTAGGCTTGCGCGCAAGAAAAAATAGAAGTTAAAAATTAACAAGAAAAGAAAAAGCAACAAATCAGTTTAATTTTCAGTCAAGGCCTATGAGCATTCATTATTTATATAAATAGTTCGTACGTAATATGCAAATATGCCATATTTTCCACCCCTTAGTTAATATATTCATTTTTCAAAGCTTCTGTGCATATTACAATTTGTTAAGTATAGAAAGTTGGTCAGGGAAGCCACAAAGTTCCTCTCGCCCTCATTACTCACGGAATTAGGTCATTAAGTTAGGGTTTCACGCGTACTTTTTCTTGGGAAAGATTGCTGTAAAACAGAGTATACTGTATAGAAACAGACAGTGATATTTTCCACTGGCAGGTCAGGTGATACCTCAAGGATAATACACAACCCTTGTTTTGTAGTAGGAGTGAGAGTTAGTCACTCTGATAATAGTGTTATTGTTTATTTACTATATAATTTTTAGTTTTATCAGTTTGAAAAAAGCATTGATTTGATTTAATCATACTCCACTAAAGGTGCCATTAAATACACTAGCCCTTACAACTTTCATTATGTTTATGTGTTGGAAATAATTATTTTACTGAGCTTAAACTTGTCTCCAGTCTCTTGTTTCAAACTCAGCTCAAATTAATAGATCTCATATATTGCTCCCCAAAACATTTTCTAGCAAACCTCCTGTCAATGGCTCTTACTCAATCACTG